AAGTGGGGAAAGTGGCAGGGGGAGCCGCCCTTCCACGGAGGTGGAAGGGTCGGTAGCCAACCCGGGAAGGACCAGCAGCAAACCCGGGAAGGGCCGAGCAGACAAAAGAACAGTGCAGGGTCCTAGTGTCGTTCCTCCACGAAGAGGGGGAGCGACAGGAGACTTAGACTCAGTGATAAGAATCCTGCCTTAATGCATTTCATCATAGTTTACACAACATAAAAGGAGAAAGTTCACTCATCTTTTTTGAGATTGGATGTTATGTTATGTTACTTTTTTTAAGGGGAAAACAAGGGCTGGTGCTATGGCTCAGTGATTTAAAGCCACTGCCTACAGGGCCGGCATCCTATGTGGGCAATGGTTCGGGTCCTGGCCGCTCCACTTCTGATCCAGCTCCCTGCTTTGTGCCTGGGAAGGCAGTGGAAGATGGTCTGGTTCCTTGGGCCCCTGCATACATATGGGGACACCCAGATGAAGTTCTTATTTCCTGGCTTCTGCCTCATGCAGCCCTGGTCGCTGCAGCTATTTGGGGAGTGAACCAGCGGATGGAAGATCTTTCTTTGTTTGTAACTCTGCTTCTCATATAAATAAATAAATCTTTTTAAAAAATAAAAAAACAGCTATCCAAGTTGACTGGTTTAATTTCATTGAATCATGCTGACAAGGACATAAAGCTTCAGTTGTGTGCTTATGATTAGAGATAATATCTTGGGGAAATCAAGATGACTTGTTTTGGTGACAAGATTGTCCACAGTCAGCCTTGAGTATATCTAAACTGTGGCCTCTGTTTTACTTTTCTTCAACATAAGATCTACAACCTCTGTTTTTCAGTCATTGAGTTTACTGTGTATATTATCTGTGACTATGGATGTATTGGGACTTGTTTCTGCCATCTTATTTTGTGTTTTGTTTTTACAATAATTTTTCTCTGATTCCCCCACCCCTTTTCTTCCTGTATTTGTTGAATTGATTCTTTTTTTGAAAGTTTTTATTTAATGAATACAAGTTTCATATGTAAAGTTGTTTTTTTTTTTTTTTGACAGGCAGAGTTAGACAGTGAGAGAGAGAGAGACAGAGAGAAAGGTCTTCCTTTTCCATTGGTTCACCCCCCAAATGGCTGCCACAGCCAACGTGCTGCACTGATCCAAGGCCAGGAGCCAGGTGCTTCCTCCTGGTCTCCTATGCGGGTGCAGGGCCCAAGCACTTGGGCCATCCTCCACTGCCTTACTGGGCCACAGCAGAGAGCTGGACTGGAAGAGGAGCAACCGGGACAGAACTGGCGCCCCAACCGGGACTAAAACCCGGGGTACTGGCGCCGCAGGCAGAGAATTGGCCTAGTGAGTCACGGCGCTGGCCCATATGTACAGCATTTAGGAATATAGTGTTTCTTCCCACCATTCCCGCCCTCCCACCCCCAACTCTCATACCACCTGTCCTCTCCCATTTCATTCTTCATTAAGGTTCATTTTTAATCGGCTTTCTATACAGAAGACCAAGTCTATACTAAGTAGAGATTTCAACTGTTTACACACAAAGATGCACAAAGTATAAAGTACAGTTTGAAGACAAGTTTTACTGTTAATTCTCATAGTACACCTCATTAAGGACAGAGATCCTACATGGGGAGTAAGTGCATAGTGACTCCTGTTGTTGATTTGACAATTAACACTCTTATTTTTTATGTCAGTGACCACCTGAGGCTCTTGACATGAGCTGCCAAGGCTATGGAAACCTTTTGAGTCCACAAACTCCGTTGGCATTTAGACAGGGCCATATGCAAAGTGGAGAATTGATTCTTATTTTAAAAGGAGATACATAAGCTTGGGGACTTCTAAAAAAACAACTTTGGGACATGGGGTGGGGAAATCCAGAAACTGTGGGGAGCAACTGGGAGCAACTCGGACTAGACTGTTACTGGAATTAAGACTTATTCTATGCATCTGCTCTCCCACAATATGGCACTGGGAGAGGAGGAAATAGCTTCTACACAGCTGCCTCCAGTTCAACCAATAAACAGCAGGACCTGCTCCTGATTGGAGGAGAGCAGCGTACTCAGCATGTGGGTAGCAGAGTTGGGATTGGTGGAAGAGGACTATAAAGGAGGAGAGAGACAACATGCACCAGGAACATCTATCTGAAGGAACACCTGTGCAGCCCCCGAGAGAGCCGGCCGGCGGTGTGCTGCTGCCCTGCGGAAGTGGGGAAAGTGGCAGGGGGAACCGCCCTTCCACGGAGGTGGAAGGGACGGTAGCCCACCCGGGAAGAACCAGCAGCAAACCCGGGGAGGGCCGAGCAGACAAAAGAACAGCGCAGGGTCCTGTGTCGTTCCTCCACGAAGACGGGGAGCGACAAGAAACAGCAAAAAAGAGAAAGTTAAAACTGGGCCACAGAAGAATCTGGATTGCTGTACATGAAAATGTTATGCTTTTTTTTTTTTTTTTGAAGATTTATTTATTTGAAAGTCAGAGTTACACAGAGTAAGGAGGAGAGGCAGAGAGACCAAGAGGTCTTCCATCCACTGGTTCACTCCCCAGTTGGCCTCCACGGCCAGAGCTGTGCCAATACGAAGCCAGGAGCCAAGAGCTTCTTCCTGGTCTCCTACGTGGGAGCATGGGCCCAAGGACTTGAGCCATTTTCCACTGCTTTCCGAGGCCATAGCAGTGAGCTGGATCAGAGGTGTAGCAGCTGGAATTCGAACTGGTACCCATATGGGATGCTGGCACTGCAGGCGGTGGCTTTACCTGCTATGCCACAGCACTGGCCTCAACTTTATGCTTTTGGTAATGGAATTTGTGATACAAAGTGAACTTTTAAAACTTCCAGTTAATATTGTTGTTGGTGTCCACAGGAGAAGTGAGAAAATCTGTGGCTCTTAATAATCTATGAGGAACTGGCTGGCGCCATGGCTCAATAGGCTAATCCTCTGCCTGCCGTGCCGGCACCCCGGGTTCTAGTCCCAGTTGGGGCGCCAGATTCTGTCCCGGTTGCTCCTCTTCCAGTCCAGCTCTCTGCTGTGGCCCGGGAGTGTAGTGGAGGATGGCCTAAGTACTTGGGCCCTGCACCTGCATGGGAGACCGGGAGGAAGCACCTGGCTCCTGGCTTCAGATCAGCGCGGTGCACCCGCTGCAGCTCGGGCCACAGAGGCCATTGGGGAGTGCATCAGTGGAAAAAGGAAGACCTTTCTCTCTGTCTCTCTCTCACTGTCCACTCTGCTTGTCAAAAAAAAAAAATACAAAAACCAAAAAAACAAAAACAAAACCAAAACACTATGAGGAACTATTTGTGTGTGTGTGTGTGTGTGTGTCTTCTGGCACAGCTTCCTTCCTGGTGTGATGAACAACCCTAATATGGTAGACTGGGGCACATGTGGCTATTTAACTATGTTTAAATACAAATTTAAAATCAGTTGCAGAAGTCACATTTCTAGCACCCAATAGGCTCCTATAGTTAGTGACTAATATTTTGCACATGGCAGATTCTAGAACATTTATATCACTGTAGAAAGTTCTATTGGACAGGATCTGATAAGCCTATATATACTGCAGCTCCAGACACCTTGGAGCAGAGCTATTTGGCCAGCTGCATCACATTTCAGAATTTGGAACTGACATCTATGGCAGCATTCTTAACGTTCTCCTAGTATCTTCTGCTCCTGTGGTGAACAGTGATCAGCGTGGGAAGCAATGCCCACCAGGAAGGTTATTGGGGGCTGCACACAAACTCTGGGCTTGGTTGCCACTGGACACTGGAGGTGATTTACATGGAGCAACTGTGAAAGGAGCCCTGGCAACAACAGGGGCTGAAGGCTTCATTTCTGTTCAGCAGTGGGAATCTTGTTCGACTGGTATTGGGAAGACAGGCAAGGCTGGGCCATTTCCAGTTGAAGCCAGGTTGAAAAGGGATGGGCATGGCCCAGACTGACCCATAGCATTTGGCATTCCTTTGAAGCTTCGGCCTCTCCTACCTTGTTGCCAGACTGGTTTAGGTCTCAGCTGAATCAGCTGGTGATGTGAGGATGCTGGAAGTTCTCTGAGCCTGTAGTCACTGGCACAAGGGCCCACTAGTTGAGGTTGGAACTCATCTAGGATGGCCTAGGAAGGGAACACCATCTGTTCCTGTATATCCTGGTTAGGGAAGTGAGACTTTGTCTCCCATACAGATGCCCACTCATTGCAGGAACAGCTTCACCTCTTTGAGGAAGGAAAAGTTGAGAAGGGCAAGCCCTTTGCCTTTCTCTTACTTGAGAATCACCTCGGCCCCTTCTGATGAGTCCAAGAAGAAATCAGGTCTCCCTTAGCTCTTCACTGTCAGTGGTGTTGGGCTCCTATTCAGCCGCTTGGCTTGTGCTCAACTCCTGTGCCAGCTGAGAACTAGGATATGCCCCACCCCCCACCAATTCCGTGTCATTTTTTCCACACTTTGTTGGTATTCAGTGTTTGTAACTCACAAAGTCAAAGATTGCCCACTGAGATCGGTCATCGTCACAGTACGACTTCAGTACTGCACCAAATAAGCAAAAACTTTTCTTTCAGGATGTCACCACTTAAATCGTCCCCCAAACTCCAACTTTGTGTCAGGTGCTGTGGTAAAGTACAGGATTCCACAAGGTGTAAGACCAGCTGTGTTCCTGCCCCCCGTGAAGTCACCCCACTGGAAGAAAGGCTGTTAAGTTACATACAGCAAAGTGTGTGTGTGTGGGGAGAGTATTTTGCTTTTGCATGTGTTCGATTTTATTACTCTTTAATGTGACTTCTGTAGATACTGTAAGAGTTCACATATCTGGAAAACAAATGTACCAGTACTAGGATGGTGGTGAAGCACTGAGGAAGAATTGTGCAAACCTCCAGTCAGTTCCATTAGGGCAGCGACAGACGTGCAGGGGGCTGCTCCTGCACAACTTTGGAGGATAGGAGAGGGCGTGAGAGCCCCAGGAAGTCTCTCCAGAGACTGGCAGTCCTGGCGTTGATCTCAGATCACAAACCCCTACCCGGTGTACTTCTGGCCGGGTCCCCGGAGCGCCCAGCGTGGCTCCGCCCCCGGCCCGCGGCGCTGCCCGGCGGAACTACCATTCCCAGAAGGCCTTGCGAGCCCGGGAGGGAAGCCGCGGAGGCGGCAGCGGCGGAGGCAGGAAGGCGCGAGCAGCAGCGGCGGCGGTGTCCCCCGCCTCGGTGGCCACTGGTAGCTGGCCGCAGGACGTGGCCCCTGAACGGCACAAGCAGTCCTAGGCGCTGGCTGATCTTGCTCCTCCGCTCTCTGGACGGGTCCGGGGCGGGATGTAGGGCGCTGGGCGCGGAGGCCGCCGGCGCGGCGGGGCGATCGCGGCGGACGCGCCGAGGATGGAGAGAGCGATGGAGCAGCTCAACCGCCTGACTCGCTCGCTGCGCCGCGCGCGCACCGTGGAGTTGCCCGAGGGTGAGCGGGGCCGCGGGGCTGGGGGCGACGCGGGGCGGCTCGGGGGCGGGGGCTGAGGGCGCGTCAGGGTCCCAAGGAAGAACTCAGCGGAAGCTGAGAAAACGCCCACTCTTGACTTTGGTCAGCGGGGAGGGGCCGGGCCGCGACCCCCGGCCTTCAGCGGCCCGCGGCTCCGGGTCCGGCAGGTGGGAGTTTGCGGGAGGGGTCGGTTGTGTGCGGCACCTCCTGCGGGGAGAAGCGGGGACCGAGGTCTGCCGACCGTCCGCTGGAGATTTTGGCAAAGAGGCAGAAAGATGACCCGGATTCAGGAAACATTAACAGTTGTGGGCCATGTTCCAGTTTTCTGCGTGCGTTTTGAAAACGGACACAGACAAAAGATTGTCCAACATCACGCAGTTCCTCCAGGAGCCGACCGTGTGTCCTTAGCAGTGTATCCACTGTCCCTGACACGTATGCCTGCCCCAGTCTTCGTTTGTTCATCCAAAGGGGGGCTTCGGTGGGAACTGGGCCGAGACTACAAAGAGGAATGAGGCGTGGACACTGGAGTTCAGGACTTTTTGAGTTCAGTGTGCCAGGGTTTCCTCGGGACTGGTACAGCGCCAGGAATGAAAGAGATGGGAGTGGGGGCGCTGTTTTGTGTGCAGCCCCAGAGTTCAGGGGGTTTAGTGGCAGTGGGGGTGGCATTGCTGCCTCTAAGACACTTGTATCTTAATGCCGGGTTCTAGCTGGTGAATTCTGTTCTGCTTTGTAGCGGTTTTATCTTGTGTTTCAGAATTTTCTTTGAATTGCTGCCAGGGAGGTTTGTAGGTTAGCGAAGTAGGCCTTGGGAGAGAGTCGTGAAAGAAATGTGAGACTGGGGACTTGGGGGATAATTTTCTTGGAGAAGTTTTCCCTGGTTTCTACTTAGGATGCAGAATAGGAAGGATGTGTGGTGATTGTGTCTCAAAAATAATTTTGTGTCTGATACCCATCTAGCATGAAATAATTGACTTAAAACAATCCCGATTTTGGTACCTTGACTTCCATCTTCAACTTTTTTTCTCTCTTTCCAACCTTTGAATCCATTTCTTAAGTGCTGCTGTGACAACATGTTTCTCATAGATTGTTGGTATGTGATGATGAAGGCTGCATGTACAGTTTCATTGACTTTGCGCTTTGTATTACCTAGTTCAAGTCTCAGTCCTTTTTACATGAATGTAATTTAGGAGACTTTATTAAAGGTTGGGCTTTTGTTTTGTTTTAGGATTAGTTACAGAGGGAGGAAGAGACAGACCTTCTGTAGCTGGTATGCTCCCCAGATTGCTGCAACAAGATAGAAGCCAGGAGCTTCATCCGGATCTCCTAAGTGGGTGGCAGGGACTCCAACACGATCCATCTGTTTAGCAGGGAGCTGGATCCCAAGTGGAGCAGCTGGGACTGGCAGGCAGTGTCCACTAAACCAGAATGCCTGCCCCTAAAGGATGGTTTGAAAAGTAGTATATTTTCATCGTGGGAAATTTGGAAAGTAAAGAATAATAAAATAAAACATCTGTCATTGCACTTCCCAGTAATAAAACAATGTTAGCATTTTATTTCCTTCCATTGTTATTTTTCTCTCCCAATTTAAGATCATAATACATAGTCTTTTTATTTTCTATTTAGAAAACATTGCAAACTTTTTTTTTAAAATATCTTAAATATGTCTGAAGATTTTGCAGGATTTCAAAGCAGGAGTATAACAAGTATTGAATCTAATTTTTTGCTTTTATAAGTGATTTTATGAGGAGCAGCTTAATACTTAAGAATAAGTCTGCCTAACTATTTTCTTAGGGTCAGTTTGTAGAAGACTAATATCTAATTATGTCAGCATTTTTAAGGCTCTAGGTATCAGTTTCTCAACTCATACCTTAGACAGTTCTACCAACTGTTTTAGAGTGCCTGGAAACTGGAGTACTACAATTAAAGATTAAACGTTTTTCATGTAGTTTACATTTTTCTTTGATTATAGTGAATTGGTTCCTTGAATTTAATTTATTGTGTCTCTAAGTTCTCTTGAATCTTTTTGAATTTTCTATGGCTGGCTTTCAAATATATCATTTGTAGTACCTTTTCATTATAAAAATCCACATTGTTATGCTTGCATTTTAAGGGCTGAATAGATCTCTGAGATTTTTCTAAATTTAGGAAGTAAGATTTTTTTTGGCTTTGTTAGAATTAGCAATCAAAAAACATTGAAGAACAAATTATCAAGGCTCTAAAGTGTTAAATCAGGTTTTACTATAAAATTATCATTGTCCTATAAGATGAGTTGAGTGGGCAGTTTATTTATTAGATTTGTAGGTGGGGGGCAGGGTGCATTTATGTTTCCCAGAGACAGAGGAAACTTGAGTATTGAAGTGCACAGAGTAATGAAGTGCAGGTTGTTGAATCATTCTAGGTAGGGCTAACACAGGGGATTATGCTTGTGAGAGAAAAAGAGAAGGGAAAGACAGAAGTTGGAGGATATGGATTCTCAGTGGCCCTTAAAAGAGTGTATTGTTCACATATGTGGAGAAAATACTTACAGTTTAAATTATGGCACTTACAGTGAATGTGATTTGTTTAATGAAATAATAGAATCTAAACCCATTTTTTAAAAAAAAAATTTATTTTATTTAAAAGGCAGAGTTACAGAGAGAGAAAAAGAGAGAAACTTCCATCTACTGGTTCACTCCCCAAACGACTGCAACAGAAGAGTGGGGCTGGTCCAAAGCCAGGAGCCAGGAGTTTTCTTCTGGGTCTCCTATGTGGGTGCAAGGACCCAACCATTTGGGCCATCCTCTGCTGCTTTCCTAGGCACATTTACCAAGGAGCTGGATTGGAGTGGAGCAGCCGGGACTCCAGCCAGTGCCCACATTGGATGCCCTCACCCCAGGCAGCGGCTTTACCCATCGTGCCAAAGCACAGACTCCTAAACCTATTTTAATATATGTTTTTGAATGGTGATTAGGGTAGTTTCAGTTTAAAAAAAATCACTCCCATCTGATGGTTTAAGGAAGAATTGTATATAATGAAAGCCTCTTGTTCTTTAAGGTTTTCTTTTTTCTTTTTTCTTTTTCTTTTTTGACAGGCAGAGTGGACAGTGAGAGAGAAAGACAGAGAGAAAGGTCTTCCTTTGCCATTGGTTCACCCTCCAATGGCCGGCGCGGCCGGTGCGCTGCGGCCGGCGCACCACGCTGATCCGATGGCAGGAGCCAAGTACTTCTCCTGGTCTCCCATGGGGTGCAGGGCCCAAGCACTTGGGCCATCCTCCACTGCACTCCCTGGCCACAGCAGAGAGCTGGCCTGGAAGAGGGGCAACTGGGACAGAATCCGGCGCCCCGACCGGGACTAGAACCCAGTGTGCCGGCGCCGCAAGGCGGAGGATTAGCCTAGTGAGCCGCGGCGCCAGCCGCTCAGTATGTATTTCTAAATATATAAATTACTTTTCAAATACACACTCATCAGTAGTATTAGAACCAATGCAATTAGTAATAATTTTTTATTATCTTCAAATACCCAGTCCTTGCTCATCCTTCCTCCCTAAAAAATTGTCTGAAGAATATCCTTTTACAGTTGATGCATGAGTTAATATCCAGACATGATTCACACAATACATTTGGTTAATTTATCTCTGAAGACTCTCTTAATCTGTAACAGTTCTTCCTCTTTAAAAAAAAGAAAAACTTTAAGAAGTAACTTTAGAGGATATAAAAGTTGTATAAATAGTCCCATACACTCTACACCTAGGTTTCCCTAAGTTAACATCTTCTATAACCATAGAATAGTTATTTTTTTTAAGATTTATTTATTTATTTTAAAGTCAGAGTTACACAGAGAGAGGAGAGGCAGAGAGAGAGGTCTTCTATCCGCTGGTTCACTCCCCAAGTGGCTGCAACGGCCGGAGCTGCGCCGATCCGAAGCCAGGAGTTGGGAGCTTCTTCCGAGTCTCCCACGTGGGTGCCGGGGCCCAAGCATTTGGGCCATCTTCTACTGCTTTCCCAGGCCATAGCAGAAAGCTGGATTGGAAGAGGGGACTTGAACCGGCACCCATATGGGATGCCAGTGCTTCAGGCCAGGGCATTAACCTGTTGTGCCAACAGCGCCTGCCCCTAGAATAGTTATTAAAACTAAGAAATTGTGGTTGTTGGCTTAGTGGTTAATATGTCCACATGACGTACCAGAGTTCTTTGGTTCAAGTCCTAGCTGCACAATGCAGACACTGGGAGGCAGCAGGTTGACTAAAGTGGTTGGGTCCCTGCCACCCTCATAGGAGACCTGGATTGAGTTCCCAGCTCCTGGCTTTGGCCTGGCTTAGCACTGGCCTTGGCAAACTTTTAGGGAGTAAACCAGTGGTTGGCATCTTTCAGTCTCTTTCTCTTTCTCAGATAAATAAATTGCACTATACTACATGAAAATGTACATCTATTACATATTAATCAAAAATTTTTAAAGACTTTTAGAAAGGACTCGTCAGGTATTTTGTGGAATTTCCCTTAATTTGAGCTTGTTAGATGTTTTCTCATGATTTGATTGAAGTTCTGCATTTTTGGCAAGAATAATACAGGGCCGGCGCCGCGGCTCACTGGGCTAATCCTCCGCCTGTGGCGATGGCACTCCGGGGTCTAGTCCTGGTTGGGGCGCCAGATTCTGCCCTGGTTGCTCCTCTTGCAGTCCAGCTCTCTGCTGTGGCCCGGGAGGGCAGTGGAGGATGGCCCAGGTCCTTGGGCCCTGCACCCTCATGGGAGACCAGGAGGAAGCACCTGGCTTCTGGCTTTGGATTGGCGCAGGGCGCCAGCCGTGGCGGCCATTTGGGGGGTGAACCAATGGAAAAGGAAGACCTTTCTCTCTGTCTCTCACTATCTAACTCTGGCTGTCAAAAAAAAAAAAAAAAAAAAAAGACTCATACAAATGTTATATGCCCTTCTTAGTGGATCATAACAGGAGCTACATGATGTGTATTACTTCTGGTGATGTTACCCTTTATTAGTTGATTAAAGTGGAGTTGGCTTGTTCAAATAAATAAAATAAATAAATCTTTAAAAACAAATCCAGGTCTAGTGTTATGTGGCTTAGTAGGTTAAGCCTTAACCTGGGTGGCAACATCCCATATGGGTGTTGTTTTGAGTCCTGCTGCTCCTCTTCCCATCCAGCTCTCAACTGTGGCCTGGGAACCAGCAGATGAAAGACATTTCTCTGTGTCCCTCCCTCTCTACCTCTCAAATAAAAAAAAAAAAAATTAAAAAAAATTAAAGGGGCTGTCACTGTGGCATAATAGATTAAGCCACCACTTATGATGCTGGCATCCCATTTGGGCACTGTTTGGAGACCGGGCTGCTCTGCTTTCGATCCAGCTCCCTGCTAATGCGTCTGGGAAAGCAATGGAATCTGACCCAAGTGCTTGGGCCCCTGTTTCCATATGAGAGACCCTGAAAAAACTCTTGGCTCCTGGCTTTGGCCTGGGCCAGCCCTGGCCATTGTGGCCATTTGGGGAGTGAACCAGTGGATAGAAGATCTCTCTCTCTCTCTCTCTCTCTCTCTCTCTCTTTTTTTAAAGATTTAATTTGAAAGAGTTACACAGAGAGAGGAGAGGCAGAGAGAGAGGTCTTCCATCTGCTGGTTCACTCCCAAATTGGCCGGAGCTGCGCCGATCCAAAGCCATGAGCCAGGAGCTTCTTCTGGGTCTCCCACGTGGGTGCAGGGGCCCAAGCATTTGGGCCATCTTCTACTGCTTTCCCAGGCCATAGCAGAGAGCTGGGATGTTGGCGCTGCAGCGTTACCCCCTATGCCACAGCGCTAGGCCTCAAATATCTCTTTCTCTGTCTCTCTCTCTGTGTCTGTGTGTTTGTCTTCCTCTCTTTGTAACTCTGCCCTCAAGTAAAAAAAAAATTTTTTTGAAAGCATTAGCTACAATGTATATAGGTATAATATGTATCAAAGATGTTGATTTTTAACATTTTCTTTTGGATCAAGGTTTTGTCACTTTATGCCATAACATATATAAATATTAATGTTGTGAGTTGTATAAAGTGATAAGTAAAGTTAAGGTTTTAATGTTGTATCAAAACTTCTAAAATGATTTCTTTTTTTTTGTAATACTGGCAAGAGGCGAGTAATATGTATGCTTATGGTTTTAAAATTTTAGGTGGCTGGCATTGTGGTGTAGTGGGTTAAGTCCCTTCCTGCAATGCTGGCATCCCATATGGGCCCTGGTTCATGTCCAGGCTGTTCTACTTCCAATCCAGCTCTCTGCTAATGGCCTGGGAAAGCAGCAGAAGATGGGCAAAGTGTTCAGGCCCCTGCCACTCATGTGGGAGACTTGGAAGAAGCTGTTGCAGCCATCTGAGGAGTGACTCAGTAGATAGAAGATCTCTCTCTCTCTCTCTCTCTCTTTCTCTTTCTTAATCTCTGTGAAACTCTGATTTTCAAATAAATATAAATCTTTTAAAAATTATTTTAGCGTGGTCATTTTGGCACCAAGGCTTAAGCTGCCACTTAGGACACCTACGTATATTCCATATCAGAGTGCTGATTACAATTCCAGCTACACTGCTTCTGATCCAGATCACTGTTAATCTGCCTGAAAGGGTGGAGATGATGCTCAGGTGTTTGAGTCCCTGCCAGTCATGTGGGAGACTCAGATGGGGTTCCTGCCGTCTGGCTTCGGTCTGTCCCAGCCCTGGATGTTGCAGCTACTGGGGAGTGAACCAATAGAGAGAAGATCTCTGACTCTTTGTTTCTCCCTCCCTCCCTCCCTCCCTCCCTCCCCCTCCCTCCCTCTCTCTCTCTCTCTCTCTCTCTCTCGCTTTGCCTTTGAAAAACTAAAAATAAATAAGTGAATATTTAAAAAATTATTTTAGCATATATTTATTATATACTTAAAATTCCTCCAGTCTGTGTATAAGTATGATAAAACACAATGTCTCTAAACAGTCTTTGGAAGTAAAAGAAATTTCAGTTGTTAAAGATGCAGAAAATATTGGGTCTCTAGTTTTCTTCTTACATCCAGTAGCAGAGTTCTTTTATTGTGATGTAAAAGTAAACAGGATAAGCAGTAGAGGGGATATGAAATTTTGTGTTACTGAGATTTTGCTATACCTCTGGTATTTTGCACTATTTTACATGCTTCCATCTCTCTTCTCTGTTTCCTGTGTAGAATTAAAAAAAAAATGCTTAATCTAAAGTATCATTTCTTGGACATTAATGTATTTATTTTGTTTTTTTACTCAGATAATGAAACTGCTGTTTATACATTAATGCCAATGGTTATGGCTGATCAACACAGGTGAGAGCCTGTTTCATAAATTTATGCTTTTTAAGAGATGTAGATTATTCTAAACATGTAAATAAACATACACATGCACACATACAGTTTTGACATAGATGTCTTGGGGCAGGTTGTTTAATGTTGTTGTAGTTTTCTATCTGTGAAATGTGGAACACAATTTTCTAGGACCCGTGTTAGCTGTAAAATTTTGTGATAAGAGATTTTCTAATTCAGATATTAATTCAAGTATTGGTTGGTCACTGAGAAAAATATGGTAGTTTCATATAAATGTCATTTCTAATCTTTATGATAAAAGATTAGGACTGAGGGAACAAATATTACTACATTGTTCCTTTTACTAGTTTGGTCTTGATACTCCTTTACAGGGGAATGCATAAGATACAGGTAATTGGCAGTGTGAGTCTTTAAACTTGCAGCAGTCAGCTCTGCTCTGGTTAGCCGTGAGTAGTTTGCTATAAGAGGAAAGTAAAGAGAAACTATATTTTGAAACAAGTTTAAAATATAAATAATTTACTTTAAAATTCCTGTTTGGTATAATTAAAAGTGTTTTTGTCTGACTTATTTTATTTGGCCAAAATTAATATAGGCAGGCTCAATTTTGGCAAGGAAAGCAGTCATGCCCTTTGTAAGAATCTTGAGTGAACTGAAGCCACTTTGTTGTGTTGGGTGTCCTCAGAGCAGCTGATACAGCACTGTTTAAGTGGCAGATGAGAAATCTTTCAGCAATCTTTCAGTTTGATCTTTGATCAAACTAGTTGATTTTTGAATGATGTTGCCCTGGATACCATGCTATATTTAGATGTTAATGCCTTGTTTTCTGAATGATAGGGGACAGAATCCTTTAAAAATTAGGAGTAGTAGCTAAAGAGCTATTCACAGCTGGCGCCACGGCTCAACAGGCTAATCCTCCGCCTAGTGACACCGGCACACTGGGTTCTAGTCGGGGCGCTGGATTCTGTCCCAGTTGCCCCTCTTCCAGGCCAGCTCTCTGCTGTGGCCCAGGAGTGCAGTGGAGGATGGCCCAAGTGCTTGGGCCCTGCACCCCATGGGAGACCAGGAGAAGCACCTGGCTCCTGCCATCGGATCAGCGTGGTGCGCCGGCCGCAGCGTGCCAGCCGCGGTGGCCATTGGAGGGTGAACCAACGGCAAAGGAAGACCTTTCTCTCTGTCTCTCTCTCACTGTCCACTCTGCCTGTCAAAAATAAATAAATAAATAAATGAATAAATTAATTAAAAAAAAGCTATTCACTTGATTTGTTGCATTTAAAAACTTTTTTACATATTGATTTCTCTGAATTTTTTTTTGCATAGGTCTGTTTCTGAACTACTATCAAATTCAAAATTTGATGTCAATTATGCTTTTGGACGTGTGAAAAGAAGCTTGCTTCACATTGCAGCAAAGTAAGACTAAAGATATTTTTGGTTCAAAACTCTAGAGTGAGGAATAAGCTTTGAATCAGCATTATTTCATAGTCATTATGGGGAAAGAAGCCAGGCAGCTGAGTAGTTTTTTATCTAGCTTAGGGCATAGCGTCCAGTGTATTGCATATGTAACTTGTTAACTTTTGTATTGGACTCAAGTCTTATGTCCTTATTGTCTTAGCTTGTTCTAGATCTGATTAGAGATATTTAGGCATGGGTGCTGTATTTCTTGGATGTATTTAGAGAATGCATCCACTAACATTTCTCTTTTATCCCACCAACATGAGGGATAAAGAGGATATACTTAGTGCACATGAAGTCATTGGTTTTATATTTTTGACCTAGATGGCAGAATGATTTTTTTATAAAGATGTATTTTATTTTATTTGAAAGAGTTATATAGAGTGGGAGAGACAGAGATAAAGATCTTCTAGCCACTGTTCACTCCCCAAATGACCACAGTGTTCAGTACTGGGCCAGGCTGAAGCCAGGAGCCAGGAGCTTCATCTGCATCTCCCATATGGGTGACAGGTCCCAAACACTTGAGCCATCTTCCATTGCTTTTCTTAGGCCATTTGCAGGGAGCTGGATTGGAAGTGAAGTAGCCAGGGCTTGAAGTGGCACCCATATGGGATGCCAGTATTGTGGGCTGCGGCCTTACTCGATACACCACAATGCTGGCCCTGAGAAGAGAATGATTTTTATCTAGAGTCTTCCAGTGTGTTATCAATTAGGTAACTGATATCTCCTCTTTTTCAGAATTTAGGTAGATGTGTTGAAATTAATTTTTCATGATGAATTTGACTTCTGGAAAAATTTGACAGTACTGTATGGTTTCTTTAATGAACTAATACTTTATTTGAATTTCTCAAATACTTAATAGCTTTCATAGTTGACGGTCCCATATTGAAAATAGAAAATATTCACTATTTGTGACAGAATGTGGACCTTATTGTATTTAATAGAATTTTTTGTCATTTAATTTATCTATGTCAGATATGGCTATATGTGGACTGTATCTGAACTGTCTTTTAAATTGTTTTAGTTGTGGATCAGTGGAGTGCTTGGTTCTGCTGCTAAAGAAAGGAGCAAACCCTAACTATCAAGATATTTCAGGCTGTACACCGCTTCATTTGGCAGCTAGAAATGGGTAAATATTTTTTTTCCTTAAGTAGCTTAAGTGTATTATCAATTATGACTAACATATTCTAGGACACTTTATTTTGACTTGATGTTTTTCTCCCAATATTTGCCATGAGGAAAATCAGAAATATGATGTGCATATCTTATTTTCTATAATTTTTTATTTCCCAAAGACATTCAAATAACTACCACATTTAATAACTTGTTAAATTGTTCACTGATCTTTTTTGAAATTTGTGGAAACTCATTATTGCTTATATTAGCATTTTATTTTTTGAAAACTATCATTTCCTCCTTTGTTTTTTGTTGATCTTTTCTCTCCTAATCTTTTGCCACCTTAACTCTTTGGCTTATTTCCCAAGTTGCTTGTTTAGTTAATTTATTCATGGCATTAAAAACAGTGAATATATTATACCCAATTTGTTTTTAGTTATTTGAGAATGATCTGTATTAGAGCAAGCTTACTTCTTTGAGTGCTGAATCTGTTTTTCAATTTTATTTCTAACAAGTTTTCTAAAATAAATTATATGCCTAAAAATGTAAAAACAGGCATTTTTAAATTTTTATTTTTATTTATTATTATTTTTTGACAGGCAGAGTTAGAGAAAGAGAAACAGAGAGAAAGGTCCTCCTTCTGTTGGTTCACACCCCAAATGGCCGCTTCAGCTGGCGCGTTGCGGCCGGTGCACTGCGCTGATCTGAAGCCAGGAGCCAGGTACTTCCTCCTGGTCTCCCATGTGGGTGCAGGGGCCCAAGCACTTGGGCCATCCTCCACTGCACTCCTGGGCCACACTGGAGAGCTGGACTAGAAGAGGAACAACCGGGACAGAATCTGGCGCCCTAACCGGGACTAGAACCCAGTGTGCCAGCGCCACAGGCAGATGATTAGCCTAGTGAGCCACCGCGCCGGCCAAAAATAGGTATTTCTAAAAAGTGACAAAGTTAAAAATGGCATATTAAATATACTTTTGTCTTTTCCTGATAACCTTTGTTATCATTAGGATCATTATTATGTTTTGTATGCTATTTTTATTTAAAGATTTATTTATTTGAAAACAAAGAGAGAGATATCTTTAATCCACTGGTTCACTGCCTGAATGGCTGGAATGGCTGGTGCCAGGCCAGGCCTAAGCCAGGAGCCAGGTGCTTCTTACAGGTCTCCAATGTGGGTGCAGGGGCCCAAGCACTTGGGCCATCCTCCACTGCTTTTCCCAGACACATTAGCAGGGAGATGGATCAGAAGTGGAGCAGCCGGGACTTGAACTGTCATTGCAGATGGTGGCTTTACCTGCTGTACCACAACGCTGGCCTGGTATTTTTTTTTTTTTCCCTAAGATTTATTTATTTATTTGAGAGGTAGAGTTACAGACAGGGAGAGACAGAAAGAAGGTCTTCCATCTGCTGGTTCACTCCCCAAATGGCTGCAACACCAGAGCTGGGCTACTTTGAAGCCAGGAGTCAGGAGTTTCTTCCGGGTCTCTCACATGGGTGCAGGGGCCTAAGAACCCAGGCCATCTTCCACTTCTTTCCCAGGCCATAAGCAGAGAGCTGGATCAAAAGAGGAGCAGCCAGTACTTGAACTGTTGCAAAAATGGGATGCTGGTACCGCAGGCGGACACTTAATCTACTTTTTTTTTTTTTTTTTGACAGGCAGAGTGGACAGTGAGAGAGAAAGACAGAGAGAAAGGTCTTCCTTTTGCCGTTGGTTCACCCTCCAATGGCCACCGCGGCCAGCGCGCTGCGGCCGGCGCACCGTGCTGATCCAAAGCCAGGAGCCAGGTGCTTTTCCTGGTCTCCCATGCAGGTGCAGGGCCCAAGCACTTGGGCCATCCTCCACTGCACTCCCTGCACAGCAAAGAGCTGGCCTGGAAGAGGGGCAACCGGGACAGAATCTGGCGCCCCGACCAGGACTAGAACCCAGTGTGCCGGCGCCGCAAGGCGGAGGATTAGCCTAATTAGCCACGGCGCTGGCCTTAATCTACTTCTTCTACAGAGCACCAGCTCCCCCCTGTATGTTGGTTTTTTAATTTTTTTTTTTTTTAAAGATTTATTTCAAAGTCAGAGTTACCTAGAGAGAGAAGGAGAGGCAGAGAGAGAGAGAGGTCTTCCATCCGCTGGTTCACTCCCCCTTTGGCCGCAATGTTCGGAGCTGCGCTGAACTGAATTCAGGAGCCAGGACCTTCTTCCATGTCTCCCACGCATATGCGGGGGCCGAAGGACTTGGGCCATCTTCCACTGCTTTCCCAGGCCACAGCAGAGAGCTGGATCGGAAGTGAAGCAGCCGGGACACGAACCAGTGCCCATATGGGATGCTGGGGTAGCACGTAGCTGTTTTACCTGCTATGCTACAGCACTGGCCCCAGTAGGCTATTTTAAATCCTATTGGAATATATTTTTTCCCCTTCTTTTCTGCCAGGAGCTCCAGATGTCATATCTCTGCCTCTACTACTGTTTTTCACTTCTTGAAATTCTGTTGGACTGAGAAACCAATCCAAAATGATTAGAATTATGTTTAAAGTGGAAATAAGTAGTTTTTGATTCAGGGCCTGAGGTATATAAGTTTAAAAATTTTACAATTAAAATTTTTTAAAAAAATTTACTTGGGAGACACAGAAAGTGAGAGAATGAGAGAGAGAGAGAGAGAGAACAAATGAGCTCATGTGCTGGTTTACTGCCCAAATGCCTGCAGCAGCCAGTCAGAACTCGGTGGTGGAAGGAACCCATTTACCTGAGCTATTACTTCTGTCTTCCAGGGTCTGTATAGTAGGATGCTGGAGTCAGGAGCCGAGTTGGATTTCAAACCTAAGTGCTGCACTTTGGAACTTGAGCATCTTAGCTGCTAGGCCAAATGTCCACCCCTGTAATCCTTTTCAAACACTGTAAAACTCAACATAAGTGTGTTCCCCCTATGTCTCTTTTGGTTTCTCTTGAAGCTCTTTTTGGTTCTAATTTTAACCTGGGATTCTGGATAGTTGAGGTGGCTGCCTGAGTAAGATGGACATGAAGCTAACATTGCCCATTGCATTGATCTGAGGCCAAAGTTTTACATTTAAGATTAAAGTAGAACCCAAAAGATAAGAGCCATAGTGATGTCCAGGTTTGATAGTGGAAATGTGTAGTCCTTTGACCCTGTCTTATCTACCCTGGTTCCTGATTTAGCATGTGAGCCAGCGTAAGTGTCCATTGTTATAGCAGGCTACCATGTGCCTATTAAACACTTTGTTTTATAATAATTAGCCACATTAGCTATGTTGACATCTAAGGTCATATAGTAAATCGTTGATTCCTTTGCTGAATTCATCTCACATCCAGCTACACCATCCCAAGTGTTGGAAGGATAGTGATAAAGTGAAAATGTTGCATGTATTAAAATGTCTTTAATTAAAATTAAACTGTGAACAAAAGGATGCATTGGATAGCAGGGGAGGGATTAAAAAGTCTACTGTCATTGTAGGATGAGACTTAGTCATGAATTCAGTGTTAAGAACCAAGAAATAGGTCTTAGATTTAAATAGCAAGAAGTTCTTTGTTGGACAAAGACTTGTCATGCACTCTTTTTTGTTGTTAGAAATAAAAGCCTTTTAAATGGCACATAGAAAATGATTTTGATTACTATTTGTATTAATAATAATTGAAGAAAACCATTACATTTTAAAAATGAAGAAATTTGACAAATACTATGATTCACATAGCAAGTCAATGAGAAAAAAAGGAATAAAAGTTTATGACCCTTTCTTTAATTTGGATGCCTTTATTTCTGTAAAGATTACTTGCAATATTCAACACTTAAATTTTCTGGTTTTTATTGTTTATTGAATGGGTATGTTTTACAACTTAGAGTTGCATTTTGTTTTGCTAATGGACTTGAGCATTTGTTACTTTCTGTAGCTGCAAATGTTTTCAGAAGCTGCTTTTTCATTTCTTTATGAGTTCCAGTAAGTCCATACTAAAGCAGTAATCATAGGAAAATTGTACTCTGTCTCTTTTGCTGGCGCATCTTTTTTATTGGTTTTAGCTTTTTGTTTTCTTCCCTTGGCTATCTTGTCTGATGGGTAGCATATTTCTTTTGGCCTGCTTTATCATTTCTCTCTTTTTACCATTAGTGCTGTACTGAATTGCTCCCCTTTCCAATAGAAGCCCCATTAAGCTTCCACAGAGCACTTGGATGACTGCCCCTGTGTCATTTGGGTTACCATAAGTTTCCTGAAATTGTTATAATATCTGGGCAGGAAAATAGTTATTTCCTTGTACAGCGAGATCTGACATTGCTCAAATTATAAGAGGATGTTAGAAGACTTTGAAATTATTGTGTATCCTTAGGGTGCTTATTGGTCAGGTTTGAAACTTTTGTTATTTTTTGGGCTATATTATGAACTCATAAAGGACAGAGCCCATATGTTAATTACTATTTTGCTTTTAAATTTGTAGCAAAATAGGTGCTCATGTACGGGTTGTTTTGACTTACTCATAATCTGGGAAGTAGTAGTAATGAGTAAGAAAAATAGGGTTGGGCCAGCGCCGTGGCCCAATGGGTTAATCCTTCACCTGTGGCGCCGGCATCCCATGTGGGCACTGGCATCCCATGTGGGCGCTGGTTCTAGTCCCAGCTGCTTCCCTTCCAGTCCCGCTCTCTGCTATGGCCTGGGAAGGCAGTAGAAGATGGTCCAAGTCCTTGAGCCCCTGTACCCGTGTGGGAGACCTGGAAGAAGCTCCGGGCTCCTGGCTTTGGATCGTTGCACCTCCGACTGTTGCGGCCATTTGGGGGGTGAGCCAACAGAAGGAAGACCTTTCTCTCTGTCTCTCCCTCTCACTGTCTGTAACTCTACCTTTCAATAAATAAATAAATAAAATCTTAAAAAAAAAAAAGAAAAAATAGGGTATATTTCTCTTTTATATTTCTCTGTACCTTTTGCAGTTCATTTTGAGAGGGGGATTATTTTTGGGAGAGGGATTTTTGCTTTTTTCCAAGAACTCCTACCCTAAACACTTTTTTGTGCTCTTTTTCCCTGTTCTGTTCCCACCTATTCATATCCTGTTTATTTTGGTACTAGACTAATGGTTCACATCAGGCTTCTGGATATCAGGTTTTAGAAATCCAGCCATATGGATATAGACACAAACACATTTTAAACAATACATTTATTTGGTTTCAAAAAAATGTATCTATATGAGAAGCATAGAGAAAAAGAGGAAGGAAGGAAGGAAGAGAAAGAATACACTCCCTTTTACTGGTTCATCCCCCAAAGTGTGCACAATGTCTGAGACTGGGCCAGGCTGAAACCATGAGCTGAGAATGCAATCCAGGCTTCCTAGATGGGTGTTAGGAACCCAATTACTTCCATTACTGCTGCCTTCCAGGGTCTGCAACAGCAAGAAACTAATGTCAGGAACTAGGAGCTCAGATTTAAAGCCAGTTAAAGCCAGGTGCTCCAGTGTGATATGTGGGCATCTTAACTTCCAGGCTAAATGTCTACTAAATGTCTACTCCATCAATGTGTATACTTTAATAGAACTGTCTGGTCTGGTCTTAATTTCTCTTTCTCTCTTTCTTTCTCTCTTTCTTTCTCTCTTCCTTTCTCTCTTCCTCCCTCCCTCCCCCTTCCTTCCTTCCTTCCTTCCTTCCTTCCTTCCTTCCTTCCTTCCTTCCTTCCTTTCTTTCTTTCTTTCTTTCTTAAAAAATTTTGTTTATTTATTTAAAAGTCAGAGAGAGGCAGAGGCAGAGAGAGAAAGAGAGAAAGGTCTTCCATCCACTGGTTCACTCCCCAAATGTCCACATGGCAGAGCTGGGCCGATCTGAAGCTAGGAGCCAGGAGCTTTTTCCGGGTCTCCCACACGGGTGCAGGGGCTCATGGACTTGGGCCATCCTCCACTGCTCTCTCATGCCATAGCAGAGAGCTGGATCGGAAGTGGAGCAACTGAGTCTCAAACCAGTGACCATATGGGATGCTGGCACTACAGGCGGTGGCTTTACCTGCTACACCACAGTGCCGGCTTCATCTGGTCTGTTCTTTCCCATTTTGAAGTATTTATTTCATAAAGTTTCATAACAATATGTTAGATAAAGAAACTTTATAAATATTCGAAGTTGAAGGTTACTTCGATCTTTATTTTCTCCCATTTCTTTTGATTATAATACTGATTTTTAAATGGCATTTAACTTTGTTTCAGGTACAAAAATTAAAGCAACCAAGTAATTTTGATTTTTTTCAACTGTTAAGAGTTTTAGCCAGTGACTTACAATATTGAGTATTTAATAAATAATAAGTTTTTATTGAGAGTTACTGTGTGCTTGGCTATGCTTAGTACTAAGTGAAAAGAAACAATAGCATGGGGCAGGTGCTGTGGCTCGCTTGGTTAATCCTCCGCCTGTGGCGCCAGCATCCCATATGGGTGCCGGTTCTAGTCCCGGCTGCTCCTCTTCCAGTCCAGCTCTCTGCTGTGGCCTGGGCGGGCAGTGGAAGATGGCCCAAGTGCTTGGGCCTCTGCACCCACATGGGAGTCCAGGAAGAAGCATCTGGCTCCTGGCTTTGGATTGGCGCAGTGCCGGCCATGGCGGCCATTTGGGGAGTGAAACAATGGAAGGAAGACCTTTCTCTCTGTCTCTCTCTCACTGTCTATAACTCTACCTGTCAAATAAATTAAAAAAATATTAAAAAAAAAAAGAAACAATTGCATGAAGAAGTGTATGATCTGGTTGAGTAAATAATAGTGCATACACATATATATATTCTATGTGATATACTATATTAATGTATATTATATGTATATGGTATATGTTTTTACATATATATAAAAGTATGCATATATATATATATGTCAAAGCTGATGACCATGTGAGGGGAGTATGAGATTCCTTGTAGTTCATAGGAATCCATACAGGTTTCAGTACTGAAGGGGAATTAAAATGAATATTGTGTAGTTACTGGGAATGGATTAGAGGAAACATTGTAAGCAAAATGGAATAGCAATTTAAAAACAAACAGGAAAAGAATGGATATTTCTCTGGAGATACACAAATGATTAATAAGAACCTGGAAAGATGCTCAACATCAGTAATTAGGGAAATGCAAATCAGAACACCAATGATAGGGGTGGGTGTTGTAGTGCAAGAGGTGAAGCCACTGGGTCATTGTCAGAGTGCCTGGGTCAGTTCCCAGCTACTTCACACTTCTAATCTAGCTTCCTGCTAATGTGTTTGGGGGGCAGCAGTTAGTGTTCTAATTACTTGGGTTTCTACCATCCACATGTAAGTCCTGGAATGTAGTTCCTAGATCTTGGCTTTGGCCCTGCCCAGCGCCGGCTGTTGTGGACTTTTGGGGTGTGAACCAGTAGACAGAAGATTTCTTTCTCCTCTCTCTGCCTTTCAAATAAATTTTTAAGAAAAAAACAGAAAACCAGAATGAAATAGCAACTCAAACCCATTAGAATGTCTACAAAAAATAACAGGTATTGGTGAGGATGTGGAGAAATTGGAGCTCTTGTGTACTTGCTGGGAACGTGAAATGATAAAGCTGCTGTGGGAAACAATATGGTAGTTCCTCAGAATTTAAAAGTAGAATTGCCATATGATCCAGCGGATCTATTTCTGGCAGAAAATCTAAAAGGATTGAAAGCAGAGTTTAAAGAAATAATTTCACATGCTTATTCATTAGTAGCTAAAATGTGGAAGCAGCCTGAGTGTCCATTAACTGGTAAGCAAAGTATGGTAAATACATATAATGGAATATTATTTAGCGTTAAAAAGGAAAGATGTTCTGATGGTATGCTATAATATGGATAAAAGTTAGAGATATTATGCTAAGTAAAATGTCACTGAACTGTACACTTAAAAGTGGTTAAGATGGTAAATTTTATGTCACATGTATTTTACCACAAAAGTAATTGAAAAAAAGTGGATGGACTCAACATTTTACTGATTTTCTGATTATGTTTTTGTAATTCATTTGAATGTTATCTTTTGAATATTTTGTAATCAAGAATATAGGATACAACATTGACATCATTTTGTTATAAGCATTCCCTTTCATTTAGACTTACATTTTCTTATGTCTCTAATGAAGATCACTATTCCATGTATTTAATCAATATTAGAAGTTTGTAATTTGAATTACAAAACTGAATTGTGCCATTTCTTTGCTATCTTTGAATCATAAAAACAGTTTTATATTTTATTTTAAATATTTAAATATTGCAGATACAGATAATGATATCATCAACTAATGTTGATTATTATTAATGTTTTAGTAAAATGATTGTATATTTTTCTAGTGCCAATGATCTGTGACTATCTGTTTTTCTCTTCAGGCAAAAAAAATGTATGAGTAAATTATTAGAATACAGTGCTGATGTCAACATTTGTAATAATGAAGGCCTTACAGCAGTAAGTGCTATCAGTTTTATTAAAGTACTTTTTTGAAAATGATGAATGTGATGGTAATGCAAAGTAGAGATATTTCTGCAAGTTACTTTTTTATAGTAAGGTAGAGAATGTTGAGTTTTCAACATAATTTATTAAGGGAAGTTACAGTTTAACCATGTTTCTCCCATTTTTAAAAATAAAAATTTTAAAAATGGATTTCTCTTTTTTATTGTTTATTTGAAAGGCATAGTGACAGAGAGATCTTTCACCTACTGGTTTGCTCCCTAAATTCCCACAACAGCCGGGGTAGGACAGACCAAGCCAAAACCAGAAGCCAATTTGAGTCACCTGTGTTGGTGGTGGAGACCCAAGTATTTGAACCGTCATCTGCTGCCTCCCAGGAAGCTAGATTGGAAGTGGAGCTGAGACTCAAACCAAAGCACTCCTGTATGGGGTATAGGATAGGGCGAGCCTAAGTGGTGACTTGACCTTTGGCACCATAATGGCTGCCTCTCCCTTCTCCTTTCTAAACTAATGACTTTGTTTTTTTTGAAGTCTTGCATCCCTTACTATTGTCATTGATTTTATTTTCCTTCTTTTTTTTTTTTTTTAAGATTTATTTATTTGAAAGGCAGAGTTACAGAGAGGCAGAGGCAGAGGCAGAGAGAGAGAGAGAGAGCGAGCAAGTGAGCTGGTTCACTCCCGAAATGGCTGCAACAGCCAGAACTGGGCACTTCCAAAGCCAGGAGCCAGGAGCTTCTTTGGGTCTCCCAAGTGGGTGCAGGGGCCCAAGGCCTTGGGCCATCTTCTACTGCTTTCCCAGGCCATAGCAGAGAGCTGGATCAGAAGTGAAGCATCCAGGTCTTGAACTGGTGCCCAGATGGGATGCCAGCACTTCAGGTGGAGGCTTCATCTACTATGCCACAGCGTTGGCTCCTCCCCACCCCCATTATTTATTTTCCTTTTTTTAGGATTTATTTATTTATTTGAAAGCCATTGTTACAGAGAGGCAGAGGCAAAGGCAGAGAAAGAGAGTCTTTGACTTTCAAGGGACTTCCGGGAGAATCTGTGTTGAAGTATGGTGTAAGGCCATTAGAAGAAAGCTGTTTTTTCATTATGTCCTTCTAATCACCTTTAATGTATTCATTAGAGGAAAATTATATGGCTAGGAAGAAAGAAAGAAAAAGATGACCAGAAAGGTTACCAGTGGATTGAACATTCTTCTCTTTCCTGTACTCAGAGATAATCACTGTTAACATTTTGGCCTATGTCCTTTTCTTATGTCTTAAACTAGTGTTTTTATCCATTTTGCCATATGACTATTTTGGCAAGAATATTATAGTAAATATATATCTATATATTTTTATATAATATAAATATAACATATTTAATTATAAATAATTATATAATTATGATTATATAATATTTATATATAATAAAGTATATGTAACTTATTAATTGTAATATGTACGTACTAAATATATACTTTATTTTTTATGTAATAAAGTAATATAGAGAGGTGATAAGGGATATGGGTGGATTGTTGAAATCCAAAAATTTTAACCAACTTGTTGTTTTGTTGGAGTATTGATGGTTTTAGAAGTAGAGATGTGGGCCGGCGCTGTGGCTCACTAGGCTAATCCTCCGCCTAGCGGTGCCGGCACACCGGGTTCTAGTCCCAGTTGGGGCGCCGGATTCTGTCCCGGTTGCCCCTCTTCCAGGCCAGCTCTCTGCTGTGGCCAGGGAGTGCAGTGGAGGATGGCCCAGGTGCTTGGGCCCTGCACCCCATGGGAGACCAGGAAAAGCACCTGGCTCCTGGCTCCTGCCATCGGATCAGCGCGGTGCGCCGGCTGCAGCGCACCGGCCGCGGCGGCCATTGGAGGGTGAACCAACGGCAAAGGAAGACCTTTCTCTCTGTCTCTCTCTCTCACTGTCCACTCTGCCTGTCAAAAAAAAATAAATAAATAAAAATAAAAAAATTAAAAAAAAAAGAAGTAGAGATGTCCATGTGCCATATCAGAGTGCCAGTTTGAGTCCCGTCTATTCCATTTCCAGTCCATTTCCTTGCTAATGCTTCTGGGAAGCAGCAGATGATGACTGAAGCACTTGAGTCCCTGCCATCCCATGTGGGAGACCTGGATGGAGTTCTTGACTCCTAGCTTTAGCCTGGTCCAGCCCTGGCTGTTGCTGCCATTTGAGGAGTGACTCATAGGAAGAAAGATCTCTGTCTGTTTCTCTGTCTCTTTGACTTTCAAATAAATAAATCTGTAGAGATTAATAAAATGATGTGATGAACAGTTGTTTTAAAGTTATGGTGGAAGTTAAGTTTTTGTTAAGTGTACCAACCTTACCAACCTTTGACAGTAGTTGCACATTTTGAATCTTTTAACTTGTGAATGAAAAAGAATACTGAATATTCACTTAGCATGCCAGTTTTCAAGGCTTTTTTGATTAATAATCTGGGGGGGGGGGTGAGGCATAACAAAACAACTTCCCTCAGATTTGAGTTGTGCTGTGAATGACCTATTAGAATAAGCTCAATTATGACAATTACATGGAATCTGTAGTTCTTGTGAAAATTCAGAATTTATTATAGATTAACAATATAATATCATCTACTCTAAGGAAAGATTGTATTCAGGATGTTTAGTGGTGTGGTAAATGCTATAGAGGATTGTAAAAACCTGGAAATTACATAGATCTATTTTGTTTTTTTAAAGATTTATTTATTTATTTATTTGAGAGGCAGAGTTACAGAGGGAGAAACAGAGAGAGAGAGGTCTTCCATCTGCTGATGGAATGCCTCAACACCCAGAGCTGGGCCGATCCAGAGGCAGGAGCTTCTTCTGGGTGTCCCACATGGTTGCAGGGTCCTAATCACTTGGGCCGCATTCTGCTGCTTCCCTAGGCCATTAGCAGGGAGCAGGATCAGAAGTGGAGCAGCTGGGAAACTGGTGCCTATATGGGATGCCAGTGCTCAGGCGGAGGTTTAACTTACAGTGCTGGTCCTATCCTAATTAAGATAGATCTTTCTTAGACATGGTTTACTTAGTTTAGACAAGGTAAGGTGTCCATGTTAATATAATCTATTTAACTACATAAGTTTTTATTTGCTAATTTCTCCTTTTCCCTCCTGAACTTTACAGAAGGTGGAATGGAAAAAATTTTTTTAAATAAAAATTTTTATTGAACAAAATTATTTATAAATATATGAATCAAATTACTTTTTTAAAGAAAAGATTTTATTTTTTTATTTGAGAGGTAGAATTATAGAGAGAGAAAGGGAGAGATAGAAAAGCCTTCCATCCATTGATTCACTCCCCAAACGGCCACAATGGCGGGAGCTGTGGCAATATGAAGCCAGGAGCCAGAGGTTTCTTCCGAGTCTCCTGTGAGGGTGCAGGGGCCCAAGCATTTGGGCCATCTTCTACTGCTTTCCCTTTCTACTGCTTGCCATATCAAGATTATTTTAGCTGTCTTGTTGCTTTGTCTTCCATATTCATTTTATCATAAATGTGTCTAGGGGCTGATGTTCCAGCACAGTGGGTTAAGCCACTGCCTGTGATGCCGGCATCTCATATGTGCACCTGTTCGAGTCCTAACTACACCACTTCCCACCTAGCTCCCTGCTAATGCACCTACAAAAGCAGCAGAAGATGACCCAAGTACTTGGGCCCCTGCCACCTACATGGGAGACTTGGATGGAGTTCCAGGCACCCAGCTTTGGCCTGGGCCAGCCCCAGTGATTGTAGCCACTTAGGGGCTGAACCATCTGATGGAAGATCTCTTTCTACCCTGACCCCGCTCCCCATAAGTCTACCTTTCAAATACATTTTAAAAAATCTTTAAAAAAATGCCAAAATAATAATAATAAAAGGCTTTCTGGAGATTTTGATTGAATTGAATTTTGAAGAATTTGATTGGATTAAACTGAGAGATCAGTTTGGGGAGAGTTGACGTCTTCACTATGTTGATTTTTCCAATCCATAAACATAGTGTATCTACAAGTTTTCTTTTTCTCTGGGGCAGTTGTGAGTAGTATTCGATTTTTTAAAAAAGATTTATTTATTTATTTGAAAGGCAGAGTTACAGAGAGGCAGAGGCAGAAAGAGAGAGAGGTCTCCCATCTGCTGGTTCATTCCCCAAATGACCACAGTGGCCAGAGCTGAGCTGATCCTAAGCCAGGGGGCAAGAGCTTCTTCTGGCTCTCCCATGTGGGTACAGGGGCCCAAAGACTTGGACCATCTTCTACTGCTTTCCCAGGCCATAGCAGAGAGCTGGATTGGAAGTGGAGCAGCCAGGACTCGAACCTGCGCCATATGGTATGCGGGCACTACAGACAGCAGCTTTACCTGCTAAGCCAGAGTGCTGGCTGTTTAGTATTCTTTTTTTAGTTTGGGTTTCTACATGTTCAGCCTTAGTATATGGGAATGCAGTTATTTTCTGTGTGTTCTCGTATCCTGCAGCTAAGTTGAATTAACTTACTGGTTCTAGGAATTGTTTGGGAGTTTCTTTAGGATTTTCAACATAGGTAATCATATCATCTGAGGATAGTTTTCTTTCCAATCTGGTTTTTTTTTTTTTTTTTTTTTGACAGGCAGAGTCGACAGTGAAAGAGAGAGAGACAGAGAGAAAGTTCTTCCTTTTGCCATTGGTTCACCCTCCAGTGGCCGACGCGGCTGGTGCGCTGCGGCCAGTGCACCACGCTGATCCGATGGCAGGAGCCAGGTGCTTCTCCTGGTCTCCCATGGGGTGCAGGGCCCAAGCACTTGGGCCATCCTCCACTGCACTTCCTGGCCACAGCAGATAGTTGGCCTGGAAGAGGGGCAACCGGGACAGAATCCGGCGCCCGACCGGGACTAGAACCCAGTGTGCCGGCGCCGCAAGGTGGAGGATTAGCCTAGTGAGCTGCAGCGCTGGCCCCAATCTGTTTTTAAACATCTATTCTTTCCTTATTGTAGCTTTAGTTTTTAAACATTTTAGTTATTTATTACTAATTCATTATCAAGCTTCCCCTGTGC